TCTTGATAGGGCCCAGACTTAGCTAAAGGATGAAGCTCTCATGGGGAACGTGGGCAGCAGTCAGTGGGACGGGGGCCGCCTTTGAGGCAGCGTCATGGCCTCGCTGGGCTCCCCCTGCCAATGTGGAGGCGGCTGACCATCCCCTTCCCACCGACCTGTGTGACTGAGAGGGTCCCGTCTGCCCAGCACTCCTGGGACCCCACGCTGAGGTTATACTCTGGCCTTCAGTCTTGAGGGTGTATAGACCTGGAAGCATATGTTCAGCAGGAGCACAAGGCTCTAGGACCTTGACCTCCAGGCAGGGCCCCTGCAGCCTTCCCTAGCCAGGTTAGAGTACTCAGCCCACCTGGCACTTGCCTACCATCCCCCCTGAGCAGGGCCCCAGGCTGGAAGCTCTGGGTCAGACTGGTCTGGGCCACAAGGACTCTGTCTAACCACACCTGGGGAACAAGGGTCCCACTTTCCTCCCTCTGTCCCCAGGGCCTTTTTGAAGGATCTTCAAAGCTCTGGGATTCTGTAACCTTTATTTCCCAGATGGGAAAAACCAAAGGACAGAACTGGGAAGGGACAGTGGGCTGAGTGCCAAGGGGCCTCTGTGCCTCCAAGCCAGGGCAGTACCTGCTCCCCCGTGTGACCTGGGGGCCCCGTGAGGACGCTCCTGTCCTAGAAACGCTCCCCTTCAGCTCCCCCTGAAGTTCTGAGAGGACTGGAGCTGCATCTCACGGGGTTCACGTCTCCAGGAGGCTCTGGTTAGGAGGCAGACGGGCTTTACTGTGGGTTGGAGCATGAGGCCAGGACAGGATAGTGACAAGTCCTGGGGAGAGGGAGCTGCTCCAGGGGCCTGGGGCCCAAATGCCCCCTGCTTCCATTCTGTCAGCCCTCCCTGCCACACCTTGGAGCGCCTTGCCCCTGCCAGCCCTGGCCAGGCCCTGCGGAGAGAGGAGTAGGACTCATCCCTGCCCTGGGGGGGCTCACAGTCTGTACCCAGAGAAGGGAATAAAGAAGCTTCCAAGAAGAGGTGCCATTTGAGATGCCTGATGGGACATGTGGGGGAAGATGGGTGGGGTGGCATTCTGGGCAGAGGAAGAGCTCACTCCTGCCCTTTGTGTTCCAGGTCTCAGCCCTCCCATGGCCCCTGAGCAGAAGAGGGTCTTGCTCTCCAGCCGGGGGTGGGGGGGTGGGGTCTTTGCCAGAGAACTCCTCAGTAATTGCCCAGTTCCCCATCTTTCCAAGACTTTGAATAGAAGGAAACTTAGACCTTGGGGGCCACCCCAAAGCAGGGGCTTTCAACATGGGTTCCATGAGTGAGTGGGCTCCAGGGGTTCCAAACCCTAGTTGTGAACAAAACCCCATGTGTGTGCACATAATTCTGGGGCAAAGTGTGTCACTTCTGTGGGATGCTCATGGGGGTAAACCCGGCTCCAGAACATCAGGGCTGGGAGAAGCCGCAGGGCTCCTTGAAATCGACGCCTGCATCTACTAATGAGGAAACTGATGCTCAAGATGGACACATGCCCAGTCCGAGGTCAACCTGGAAGCCAGACCGGGGCTTCAGTGTGCCCTCTGGAGCAGTGTCTCCCAGTATCATTGGGGGGCGCTCTGCCTGTGTGTCCCGGGGGCTGGTCACAGAGCAGATCCCTGGGCCCCATTCCCACAGATACTGACACGGCATCTTTGCACACCAGTGTGTGTGTGTGCAATTCTGTGCTAGACAGAGGATGGGGCACGTGTGTGCAAGTTCACAAGCACATATGTATGTTTGGGAAGCTGACTTCTGGAGCTGTGGTTAAAGGTGGGGTTCGGAGTTCCAAAGCAACCTTTGCTACTTACTCGCTGGGAGACCTCGGGCCATGTCTCTTGGTCTCTCTGTGCTTCAGTTTCTCCATTTGTAAAATGGGCAGATTACTACTACCACCTACCTCATGGCATTGCTGTGAAGATGAGAGTCGAAGTAAGCCCTCAGCACGGGGCTGGCCTGGAATACCTGCTCGTTTGCGCTCCCTCCCCTGGCTTGGGATTTGGGGATGACAGGCTTGCTGGGTGCATCTTCTTGAAGCAAGGGTAAGCATTACATCTGGGTGGTGGCTGCCTCACATTCTGGGGTAGGCAGACCCCTCTGGGGAGGCCCCGAGCTCTCTCCGCTCCCTGAGTGCCTCTTCTCTGGGGAGTCCGCGCTCCATGCTCCTTGCAGCCCTCCCTGCCCTGAGCCCTGACTCGGGCAGCAGCAGCCTTGATGGCCTGGGCCTCATCCAACTCTGCGACCTTCCCAGCCCCAGGCAACAGCACCTGCTCAGTAAGAAGATGAGCGCGCTGTTGGAGGCCGAGGGGGCGGCTGGAAACCTGTACCACCTGGAAAAGTGTTACTAAAAGCAGGAGGACTCCAATCCTGCGGGAGAAAACAAAATGATGCCTCACGGAGGGCGGCTCCTTCCTGGGCAACAGTCCGAGCCCAGGCTGGGACTCACAGCCCCACCACCTCAGCCATTCAGCCAACATTTATTGGGCACCTGCCGGGCCGGGCTCTGTTCTTAGCACGGGGGTTACTGCGTGAAGAAAACAGACCAGAATCCCCGCCCTTGTGGGGAGTGTACATAGGGGACAGGAAGCGAGAAGACAGAAGACAGATGGTGAAAGGAGTGGTTTGTCACATGGTAACAAATGCAGTAAGGAAAACGTGTAGGTAGGGAGGTGTGGAGGGCTGCAACTTTAAAGAATGGTCCGGTCAGAACTCACAGATATCTGAACACAGATCTGACGGGTGTAGAAGTGAGCCACGTGGCTACGTGGGTGACAGGGCTCCCACCCCAAGTACAAAGGCCTGTGTTAGTTGGCATGATACCTGGCTGCCAGTAACAGATCAGCAAAGGAATTGTGTTCTGGCTCAATGCAGCATGAGCTGCATCCCTCCACGTGGTGACTCAAGGATTCAGGCTCCCTCCATTTGAGGCTCAGCCTTCCCCAGCCTTCCAGCACAGCCAGGAGGAGAAAGTGGAGTGGAGAAGGCACGTCTGCACCTTATGCTTCTTGGCCTGGAAGCAACGGACCATCTGCTCTGTCCTTCCATTGACAAGCACTAGTCACATGGCCCCCTTAAATGCAAGGGGGTCTGGGGGATGTCCTCCTGGGCTGGGCACTGACTTCCCGCAACCGCCCTTCACGATGGAGGGAGTGTGAACCTCCCGGGGTCGGCTAGATGTCTCTGCCGTGGCCCTCAGTGGGCAGTGTGCCTGAGTGTTCAAGGGTCAGTGAAGATGCCATGTGGCTGGAGGGAGGTGGGAGTGATAGGAGTTGAGGTCAGAAAATAATGGGGGCAGAATGTAGGGTCATACAGGCCTACACACAGGCCTATTGTTGGGTCTTCGGCTTGTCCCCCGAGCCAGTGGAGCTCCGCTGGAGGTTCTGAGCAGGAGGGGACCATGACCACCTGGCTTTAACTGGCTCCCTCTAGTGGCCATGTGGAGAACAGAATGCGGGGGCAGGGCGGGAGTGGGGAGCCTGGTGGGAGGCTGTTGCGGCGGTCCAGGCGAGGGGCCTTGGAAGAAGACAGAAGTGGTGGAATCAATACATTTTGAAGGTAAAGACAATAGGTCTTCGAGGTGGGACAGATGTGGGGTGTGAAGGAGAAAGGAGTCAAGGCCGAGTGCCAGTACGTTAGCTTGGGCACTGGGAGGATCTCCATCTCCACCACTTACTGAGACGGGAGAGCGGTGGCATCAGAAGTTTGCTTTTGGATATGTGGAGATGCCACTTAGACCTGCAAGTGGAAACCCAAGCCTCTGTGAGCCTCAGTTCGTCACCTGTAAAATGGGCGTGACCACACTTACCTGGCAGGATTACCAGAGGGCGGCTGTGAATGGCCGTGATGAGTGAGGTTCGCAGGTGTGGGGTCAAAGGCAGTGAGGAGCCGGAGGTGTGGTGTGGGAGTGGGAGCTGGGAGAAGGGCCTCAGAACCGCTTGGGGCCTTTTCCAATTCCTCACCTGCTGCTCCAGGACAGATCACTGTGTCGGAGTGGGCGCTGCTGTCGGGATAGACAAACGCTAGTCCAGCAAGGAGCATACAACAGGGATTCTGAGGTCCCGGATCTACTGCTGGGTCAGCTATTCCTTGCCATGGGACTTGGTTCGGGGACCTGCAGGCCTCGGTCTTCCGTCTGTCAAATGGGCTGGGCTGGGGTCCTCCTTACGGCACATCCGGAAGCACTGGGGTGCTTGCAGGTGCCTGGGGAAGGGCAGCTCGGGCACTGCCATCCATCCTTGCTGAGGGGAGGTCCCGCCCCATCCCCACCTCCGGGGGGTAAGACGCTCCCCACACAGCACAACCCTCATGGGGGGAGGCAGTCACGTAGCAGTAATACTTTTATTCCCATCAGTGATGCTGATGGGGCCTGACCCTTTACAAAGAAAAATGTTAGGAAAAAAGAGGGAGAGGGGCACCGAAGCCTCTGTTCTCGATACCCCCACTCCTCTGCCCACCCCCCGTCAGTGCCTCCAGACGAGAGGGGGCAGGGGCTGGCCACTCTGGAGGGCTCCCTGGGCTAGGCCATCTGCCAGCAGAGTCGAAGGTGAGAGCAGGGCAGCTGGGCCCAGCAAAGCTCTTCTGGTGCAGACGGCAAACAGAGAGGGGGCGCAATGGGTGGGTTGTCCCCTTGGTGACCAGTCCTGGGCTGTCAGCACCCCTCTGTGGCGTCACGGGGACCCCTGCTGGCTCCGCCTCTCCTCCAGCGCCCTGCACACCCACATGGACACCACGGCGGCGTTTCCGTCATTGAACTGCATGATGAATGGATGGCCCTGTGGGGGGGAGGGGAGGAGAGGCTGTGACACACATTCCCCAGACTCTGCACTTCATTACATTTGCCAAGGCCTGTTCTCGGCTTGGACCTTCTTTCTTCTCCCCCACTCGCCCTGCGAGGGAAGGAGGACACCATCAACCCATTTCACAGCCAGCCTGAGACCGGTGGCGGGGCACTCACTCTGCATAGCTCAGATTCTGTCTCGTGCTTGACCACCTTCTCCTGAGAGCCCCGCCAGCCCACGGGTGAGGGCCTGTCGTCTCTTCACGCCACCGGGCCCCTCCTCACCCTGCACCACTCCAACAGCGGGCTGGCCAACGCCTGGCCCCTGGGTTGCCAGCGCCCCAGTCCAGCTGCTGCCCACAGATCAGAGAACCATCTCCTCCGAGGCTACATCACTCCCTTCCGGGGTTCTTCTTTATCTAACGCTCTCTGAATAAGTCACCATGTCTGAGTGGAGGGAAGGCACACATAGCAGGAGAAGGAGGGACACACTGATGGGTGCAGATCCACTCTGGTTCCTGGTGACCAGGTTGGGGCTGGACTTTGGAGGGGCCGGGACTGTCTCCATGTGGCCCGTCTCGGGCTCTAACCTACTTAGCCCATAAGGCAGGCCATGTTATATTTAGCCAGTCCCCTCCCCTGCGGTCCTGAAGAATCAAGATTCCCATTCACAGTCTTTGGGTCTCCTGGGAGTTCCCAGCGAAGGTCAGAAAAAAGCAGGGGCAGTCAGAGTCACCCTGACCACAGGTCAAAGGGGAAAGGGAAACTGAAAAGCATTCTCTTCCCTCCTCCTCACCAAGTGGCTTCTCGGCTGAGAAATGCACACATGGCAGCTTCCTCCTCTACCAGAAACGTAGCCTGAGACTCAGGGAGCCACAGTGGGTGAGTGTGGGGTGGGGGGTCTCTCTGCTTCCTTCCCTTCCCTCCACCTCCTTCCAGCTCCAGCTTCCCTGAACCCTCAGCTTTTTTTTTTTTTTTTTTTAAGATTTATTTATTTGAGAAAGAGAGAGAGAGAGTGAGCATGCAGAGAGGGAGAAAAATCTTCAAGTAGATCGCCTGCTGAGCGCCAGAGCCTGACACAGAGCTTGATCCCATCACCCATGAGATCATGAGCTGAGCCAAAACCGAAAGTCGGATGCTCAACTGACTGAGCCACCCCAGTGCCAGTGCACCTCCAGCTTTCTGATCCCTTCTTGGGCTCCGTCTCACCTCCCTTCTGGTGTGAGCTGGGCTCCCAGCACTGCTTTCCCAATATACCCCAGTCTTGACCAGCAGCTCTGGGGGATAGCCAGCCACTGGCCACCTGCTCGCAGCTCCAAGCTGCCTCAAAATGAGTTTATCACATGGCAGGAGGGATGTGGGCCTGGGGCTCGCATGCCCTGGGTGCCCAGATCCCAGTGTCTGCAGGAGCGGTCCAAGACCAGGCCAGGGTAGGTAATGAGGCTGCTTGGTCAGACCTGATGTGTTTCTGGGGATAGGAAGGAAAACCATCCAGGCTTCCTTACCCTGGACTCCTGCTGCATCCCCTTACCTGGCTTTCTCAATTCAGGCAAGGAAAGCCATTCCCAGGAGCATCCTGCATGGTCTAGCTCAGAGGCATACAGAACACTAGAGGAGAGCAGGGAGGGAATAAGCTCAGCTTAGGGGGTGCCAAGGCCTCGACTCACCGAGGCCATCATGGAGCTAGGCCTGGAGCCCATCTGGGCACCTCCTGTGATCTGCTCATGGCATTCCACGGGGCTCCTAACACACCTGTGGGACTACTGGGGGGAGCAGGTGCCCCTCGCAGACTGCCACTGGGTAAGGGGGGTTGGAGGCCAGGTTGGGTTGGTGTCTTGCAGGAAGCTGGGTTGGGGGATGGGGCAGGAGAGACCCAGGAGGGCCTCATCTTGACTTTCATACGCAGTTCTCCCCCCTTATATGTGTCTACCCTACACCTGCCTTCCTAAATCGCTGCCTACATAGAGGGAATTCTTCCTAAAGTCCGAGCGTGCATATTTCCTTTTCAGGAGGCTCAGAGGAGGCGACCTTGCGCCCTTGTGAAGAACAAAGGGAGAAGCTGTGCTCAGAAGCCGATGGGCCGCCTCCCCCCAAGCCCGGGGTAGCACAGTGTCACTTTCCCAGAATGCCCGGTGACTTTGGGGCCCATATGCTGCATCTCTGTTATCATCTGTTCAGGAGGAAGCAGAGCGGAACTGCAGGAGGGGAGAGTGGAGGCATTCCTCCAGTTATGGGAAGGCTGATGGGTGCACTGCAGGGAAGCATTGTGCCCAAGTGCCCTGGGAGGCTCTAGGAGGAGAGGGTCAGCATCCACTGCTCTGGCGGAGACTCTGCCCCCTTTCCTGCCCTCCTTGGCTGGGAGGTGACTCTCCTGTCCTGCGTGTCCCTGATGCTTTACACCTGCCTGAAGGGAGGGACCTGGACAAGTGGTCTTGTCCCCAGCTATTGTTGATTGGCTCCGGAGAGAGGAGTGGGGGAATCATAGAGGGGCGCAGAGAACGGACAGAGACAGATACAGGAGGGAGACCCCAGCCTCTCTAGGCAGCGGGGCCTGTGAGGTGTGAACTTGGGAGCCATTGGCGGTGTGGCCCACGGTATGACTGAACATACCGAGAAAGCCAGCATGCAAGGAGGGAGAGCACAGAGAGCAGCCGAGTGGGGCAGCAGCGGACCCCCAGGGCCATGATCCCCGGGCCTGGCAGCAGCTCTGCCTGCAGGGCCCGTGAGCACTGCCGGGGGACAGGCCCCACGTCAGAGGTGGGCACTAGACTCTCCACTTTACACATGAGGAAACGCAGGCCGCAGGCTCATGGCTGACCTGCCTGGGCTCCCAGGACCGAGGCTGGATCACTAGTCTCTGTAACCCAAGCCCACGGCCCGGGCCTCTCCCGGACTGAGTGGGAAGCGGACAGAAGTGGGAGAATCAATAACCAGATCGCAATTCCCCTCACCTTTATTTCTGCCCCATGATTCAGGCCCTCCCGGACAGAGGTGACACGGACGCTGTGAGCCTGCATTGCCCCAGGTCCTGACTTCTGTCAGCGCCGTGCTTTGGACACTCTGGGCGAATGCTCGCTCTGTCATGGTGGCAGGTCACTCTCCCTCGACGCCCCCTACCCTCATCAGCCTGTATGGGAAGCAGGGCATGTATACCATCATCCCATTTTCCAGAAGAGGACACTGAGGCCCAGGGAAGGAAGCGACCAGATAACAGTGCTGGGGACAAACTCAAGTCTCCTGGTTTCTAGGCTGTGCATTCTCAGGGCTGGACTGTGTCCCCTGGGACCCTGGCAGGATGTGTTCTCCCCCTCCTCTCTAGACAGCGACACTCCTCCAGCCTGGACATGCACGGTGCAAGAACCTCTCACGAGTTTAATAAGTAAACAAGCAAAACCCGACAGACGATTCTAGAGAAAGCATGAGAATCACTCAGCCACTCCAAGGTGCCTGGGTTCCCAGGAGGCTCCGGAGAGGCCTGAGCAGATGCCGGAGATGGATGGAAACTACACCCTACATAACACTAATCCTGAGCCCAGCACCACGGAGGAGTGCTGTGTGCCAGGCACTTGCCGAGGGCTTTGTCCTGATTTTCCCAAGGAATCCCCATGCTCACTCTGGAGGCACACACAGCCATGTGTGTCTACCTTCCAGATGAGGAAACAGACACTTGGGGCCCTGTCCAGGGTCGTCAAAGCAAGTGGCTGGCCCCAACATGGGGCCTCTGACTCCAAATGCTCTCCTGCACCTGCAACCAGAGAGCTGACTTGGCAGGCCTCTCCCCGGGTCTCCATGAGGCCCTGGAGGGTTCGAGCCTCCTGCAGCGCTTGGGTGAAGTGCCCGTCCCTCTCCAGGAAGAGGAATCCAGACGTGGACACGCCCTCGTAGCCCCCATCATGCTGCAAGGAACAGAGCGGGTGTGCTGGGCTCCACCCGCAGCTGGACGCCCACCTGCAGCTTGTCAAGAGCGTCCCAGCCCGCCCCATGGTGGCTGCCCCGGGTCCCCGGGCCTCTGTCCTCCAGCCAGAAAGTGTGTTAGCAGCCACTCTGCCGAGGCTGGAGGGGTGCGCGCCGGGCTGGAGCTGCTGCTGACCTCGCTGGCCTCACCACCCGGCAGTGGGAGCCACTCTCATTTGCTGCATTCTCTCAGGGCCAATTGCAACAATTAAACCGGCAAGGCTTGAAGTAGTAGGGTCCACAAACTTCGCCACAGAAGGTGGAGACATAATGAAGGGAAAAGGATGGGACTGCAAGAGGCAGGATGGCTCCAAAAGTGGGACGCGGGGGAGCACGAGAGGGATGAGTCCACAGCTGCCGAAGACGGTTGTGGTCGCCTGGGGCAGCCACGGCCACGTGGGGCTAAGCGGCAGACCGTGCTAGCACAAGGAAGGGCCCTTGTGGAGACTGAGAACCTGGGAGGAGGAAGTGCAGTTCTCCCTCCCCTTCATCTGGGCAAAGTGACCGGCAGTTCACTAGAGTAGGACTCTCCTCTGTAATAATGTCTCTAATTTTTTCCCATCCATTTCATCGTGACGAGATGCCTTCCTGACCAAAAGAGTCCCTCCCATGTGGGCAGCGCTCTACCCTCTACCGGGGGTGGGGGGACAGGGAGATGGGGGGTTAGTGTACCCACTGTGCAGGCAGGAAACAGAGCTCCGGGCCCGCTGTAGTGCTAAGCGCTGCCCGAGGCTCACGGTCTGGATTGCTCATGCTCTGCCCTTTAGTTGGGTTTTGACTTTCTTCCCAAATGGGAATTGACCTACTTGGGGTCTGCATACTTCCTTCTCTTGCATAATTTCCTAAAGAATATCATGCATCTGCATCATTAATAATCTACAGATGTGGCTGCCAGGCCGGCACATAGTAGGCCCTCAATTACCTGTGGCAGGACAAAGCCATCTGTGCATTCTGTATGTCTGCAGCTACTCACCAAGCACCTGCTGTGTGCCTTCCGGCTGCCAGATATCTGCCTGTGGCCTCGAACCCTCCCAGCACCCC